ACCCATGTATTTAAATCCCTATTTATAATCTATCTATCCATAACATCACCAAAGCTGTTTTCACATCCTTCTCTTCACACACCCTCTTCACCCAGAAAGTAATTACTATTGTACTACAATAGAAAATTAATTTATAGGCCTCTAAAACTTGTTATATATCTTGGGAATAGAAATTTGGCCCCCACCATGATATTCCCCTTCAGCTGTATACTTCTACCTAGATTGTTAGAGTTCATTCAGGACATGTGGGATTCTGGTGCTTTGAAGGAGGTGATGGATTTGTGGCATCCAGACAGCTAAAAATACACAGGGGTAGGGGAGCAGTCAGCCAAAGCTTACAGGGGACACAGGGTCAGCCCAAGCTCTGGCCAAAGGCAAATGTCTGACACTGTCACTACTTCCAGCTAATCTAGAAATCCAGATTTTCTTCATAGTCACAGAAGAGAGAAAAGCATGCAAAGAATGCATGTAATCTTCAAGTGAAAGCTAGTAGAGATGCATGAAAAGCTCCATTTCTTAATCATGGAAGGATTTCATCCGGTCTCCCTGTTTTTTTTTTCTGCTTAATGGTACCCCTATTCAGTTCTGGGTTTAGGTTGGTTCTCGCTGCCATCTTTGGAGCTCATAATTCACAGCACTAAGTGAGATGCAAATGTGTTAGCACTGACATTTGAGCTGAACTCCTGGGATTGTGATATTTGAATGGAACCAAAATTGGGAAATAACATTCAACCAAACTTAGCTCGCATGCCAGTGAGGGCCACTGAAGTTGAAAGCACAAGTCTGTTAGGGAGCAGGGATCAGGACCAGTTTTCAGAGTCCAGACTCTCTCTGGACTCTCAGGACGATTCTCTTGGTTTAGTTTTAGGCAGTTGTGCAAGGAACAGTTTGTTGGACACCATGGTCCTTGTGGGTCTCTTCCAACTTGAGATATTCTGTGATTCTGTGGTCCTTGCCAGCATTTAGCAGAGCAGCATGAAGGTGTGTAAAACCTGTGTGAACTTCCTCGGGAACACTCCCATTTATTTCAGTAGGCTTTGGATCAAAGCCAGTCCTAGGCCAGGTCCTGGTATCTGTTACTGCATTCCTATGGATTTGGCTGAACTGACATCTGGCCGTTATGATAAGCTTTTAAAAAAACATTCAAGGCAGATGGGGAGAATCTTTTGGAGGTCAGCACACATTAGGTATTTTTCTCAGCTAAACTTTTCCTCAAGCATTACTAAGTGCAATTCTCCTGCAACATTTAGAGGCAGGACAGAACAAAACAAAACAAAAAACAAAAGAGAGTCACCAGCCTGCTCCTCTGTCTCCTGTCCATCAGGCAGTTGGTAAAAGCAGCAAACTCATCTGTTTGGGAGTTAGGACATGAGTTTATTTGTAGGTCTCATGGAGAATTTCTGTGCAAGGGTTCCCTGTTTTTCTAGGGAGGTTTTTGATAGTAAGGTAGAAAGGAGCAGAGAAAAGGCCAAGAGGAGCCACAGCTTGCAACCTTGACCATGAACCTGCTTCACTTCATCTTCTCAACTCAGGCAGAAGTTGGGGCATCACCCCTGACTCTGGGAGCTCCTCTGGGAGCATCTCATATGCTGTCACTGAAAGTCAAGTCTTAGCAGTCAGTGTGGGGCACAGTCTGTTTATCCCTTAAATTCGGTCCACATAATTTCTGGGTGTTTGGAATTTACTGAGCAGGAAAGATGTGAAGGTTTGCACAGACTTTGAAGTGGACAGTTACTCACAGGTGAATTATTCACTCCCTGTCGGTAGGAACCAGGATTTGGTGCCCAGAGTTTGTGGGCTTACCCCTATTTTTTCTTTTCTGACTCTAGAGTTGAATGGTCTCTCAGTGCTCCAGCCCAGGGCTTCATGAAAACTTCCTTAAGGCTTCTCTAATGAGAGGCTTAGGAGTGTGTTCTTTCTTTCTTAGCTACATTTTAATTTTCTTTCTAAATGCTATTTCATCTCTTAGTTAGAAGATCCCTAAAACAGGGAGACCTGCAACTGCAAAATATCAAGCTTCTTAGCATCAAACTATACCACTGGCTGTGCTCTTCAGAACCAGCATCCATTCCTATTGTTTCTTACTTTAAGGCATACTATACCAACACTTTCAGAATGGAAAAAAAAAATTGGAATTCTGGAATAGAAAATAAATAGAGAAGTGCTTCCTTGAGTCTACAGGCAGCAGTGAGAGAGTTAAAAGTGGCTGCAATATGATCTTCATATGTACAATGAAACCTCCTTCCCAAATATGCAAGCAGAAGATAGCACAGAGCTTTGGATAATGGAATCTATTCTGATATGATTTAGCCTTCATATAAATCCAATTTGCAAGTAATTTAAAGTAAGATTGATCACACAGGTAACTCTGGTGTTGTCTTTGCTTGTAGCTAGTGTGCTGCCAGGGGTATTTCTGTATCTGGAAACAAAGAAGGCTTGAGGATTCAAAATGGAGGAGGCTGATAAGGGGCCATTAGATTCAGATGGGCAGAGGGGTTTTGAGCCAGCAGAAAATCTGATTATGTCACTGATGGGTGTTATAGTGGAAAGACAATAATTTGTTTTAGAGTTATTGCAAAATAACTTCTGACCTTCTCTTTTGGACAGAAACAGCACAGATTGGGCCACAGAGAGTAGTTTTAAATAGTACACTAGAGAGTAGGAAGTACCACAGGTCTCCAGGGTTTTTCTCCCATCCTGTGCCAGCAGCCATGGCTTGTGACCCTCTCTGGGGCCAGGGATGGGTTCAAATTATGAAACTGCCCCTGTTTAGATCCCTCTTTCACAGACCAGCAAGTACTTCCCAGGACAGGTGAGGGAGATGCAGCTGCAACTCTGGGCTGGAAAGTGCCCTGTCAAAAGCTTAAAGACAAGAAGCAATTCCCTGGCTAGCAGGAAAATCCAGGGTGGGAAATCCAGTTGCATCTTTCTCCACAATACAGAGGAACTGGTCTGCTGCAGTTTGATAGAAGAAATGGCCAAAATAAATCTTAGTTAACTATTACAAACAAGCAGCAGTATTATTTGCTTCGCATGCTTGCTCACATGTTTATAATGTGGTTTTACAAACCTCTGGCCAGCAAAACCATATTCTTGTCATATTGCTTCTCCCCAAATTATATTTTTCCACCACCTTTCATGCTGCAGAAGAGTTTGGGAGAGAGGCACTAGGTAAAGCTGGGGAGGAAACAGGTAAATCTTTGCCCAGACTCCCCTATGAGATTATGAAGAAAAGCAATATTGCTCTTCCAGGCTATAATCTGGATTAGTAGATATGGAGAGGATGCTTTGTCCTCCCCAGGGGCCTTTGGACAAAGCCCACTTAAGCAGGTTTTGTAAAATAACCAGGTGAGGTTTTATCTTAGCAAACAAATGCCTCAAAGAAGTAGAATATTTGAATGAAATTTAATGGAATTTTAATAGTGAAATTCAAGGGTCCAAGGCCTCTTTTATTCAGAAGGTACAGTGGTGACTACGCTTTTACTGTATACTGAGTTGGAGGAAATAATTTTGTACAACACTGATAAGACAAAACTCATTCCAGGACTGACCCTCCTGGGAGCATTTAGCTCAGATGTGGCATGTGTCTCCAGGATGACCAAAACAGGCATGGCAGGGAAGAGCTGGGGTTGGTATTTTAATCATAAAGAGTTTTTACTGAGATGGCAGTTATATTCATTTAAACTCCATCTTCCTGCAGCCAAAGGATATGAATTTGATGTACAAAACAAAATACAATTCTAAGCATCTCTTGAAACCAACATCTGCTTTACAACAGTATACAGCATCTTAAAATAACCCAGTAGAAGTGTTTGCATTGATATTTTCCCATGTTGTCCTATATGTAGCTTTCAGAAGCTATTATGTGAAAATTACTTGGGTATTTGAAGCTTTTATTTTATTTTCTTTTAAGAACAGCAAAATAACTCAATATTTCCTATAATGTAAAGAATTTTTCTTTCATTAAACTAAATGATGGTAAAATCTTTAAAGTATTTATTGCTGAACAGCACGATAACAAAGTTCACCCACTAGTTTTAAAGAATTGATGCCTATTAGATAAGTTTAATAGTTCAAGTAGCATTTGAAATAATGTGTACTAAGAAAAACCCAGGACAAATGGCATCAAAGAACAGCCTGAAAAGTGGATGCACCTCTCATTTGGCTGTGTTTGCTCCCTGTGTATGAATGCTTTATTCATTCAGGCAAGTCTCATACTCTATTGTATAATTCCAAATAACTGTGACTTAATTCTACAGGTATGTAGGAGAATTTGTGAATGTAGGCAGTGTTTCACCTCTTCGGACTTTCAGGGTATTGAGAGCTTTAAAAACTATTTCAGTAATCCCAGGTAAGAAGCCCTGATCCTTACGTTTTGGCTCTCAGCTACAAGTGATTCTTTCTCTGTCTCTCTTTGTCCCTTTGATTGTTGTTTTTTTGGCTGGTGTTTTGTCATTGTCTGTGTGTGACTTTCCCTTGTTACAGATACATAACTGAATTTGTGGACCTGGGCAATGTCTCAGCCTTACGAACGTTCAGAGTACTGCGGGCGCTGAAAACAATCTCAGTCATTTCAGGTGAAAATCAGGTTAAACACTCCGGCTGCAGTTAAAGCCTACATGCCATTTCCAGTAGCAAACACCGTAATTACAAATGACTAAAACCATAGACACTGATCAGGAAATGGAGGAATGTAGGGAATGTGACCTGTCAATAGAATACGTTTTCTTATGTGTTTTTCCAATATGGTGTTTGTGGGCAGAAGGAATGGGAGTGCCTCCAAAATTACAGACCTCACCAAGAGGAGTGCTGCTGTAAGAACAGTGGCTCATGAGTCACATGCATAAAGTACCCATTCCTGAACCATATCAAAATGGCAATGAAACTCTTTTAAAGCCTTTGGATATTGATTTTTAAAAATGGAAGGTTAATGACCTCAAAATGCATATTCATGTTTAAGAGCACATTGATAGAGGGATCTAAATCTGTACTATGAGCTGAGGTTTCAAGACTGCAGGCACAGATAGCCTACTTTGTCATGGTGTTTATCCAATTGCATGTGATAGAAGCACTGTTGAAATTTTGGGTCTTGAAGAGATCAGAGAACTTTTCATTATTGATTTTGGTAGGTCCAGCATTTCATCGACTCGCATTTTCTAGGATATGATTTTCCAGTCTTCCCCCCTCTGAAAAAAAAAATCAGTGTTTTACTACACATCTGATAGTGAAAGAAGCTCTTTATTTAATGTTACTATTTTAAAAAAATTAATAACATTTACTATTAAGCAATTTATGCAGAGATGAGTCCACTGAGGACTAACCATACGACAGCACTTTCTTGCCAAGCATTATCTATGGACAGGTCTCATTCAGCCTCAGTGTTTAACATCTCCAACCTGCATGACAAGGTAGAGAAGATAGCAAAAACCATGCATGGTAGATACTCTCTTTGATAATCCTGAACAGATGTTGGCAATTACGTGTCAAAAATATTCAAAACGTCAAAAGAACTGCTCAGATTCTCACACACAGCTCTTGAAGGTTAGAAGGGCTTTTCCACCCACTCTGTTATGCACATCCACACTGTAATATAAATCCAAACAAATTCTGAGGTGTAAACTTATATGGACATGTATTAAAACTAAACATCAGCACTCATATGGAGTATAAGCTAGAAATGATAATTCTGGAATGGAAGTGTTAAGTAAAAACATATATAGATCTAGAATTTGCTCACTCATTCCAACACCAGAGCAATGAACATCAGGGAAATTACTTGGAGAGCAAGGTACTTTTTGCTGAAAGTGTATGTCCAAATATAGGTTTTAAAGAATACTCTAATATGATCATTCTTTAGGTCCTTGAAATCAGTACCTGTCTTAATTTTTGTCTTTAAGTTTTAAAGAATAATCTATTAACAGAGAGGGTTTCTTTTAAATTTTTCTCTAATGGGATTTCCATTGAGAAATTATTTTTATTTTCATTGGGAAACAAAGCTGAGCACAGTTTTACAGATCATGTGGGATAGTACTGGCTAATCAGAGAGAAAGCCAGAATTTGTTTCCTAGTGTCCTTTGCTAGCAGTTTGAAGACTAACTTGGAGGGACAGCCATCTCCAGGGGACACCTTTCACGTTGCATCTTGTCTTAAGCTTGAGCCTCTTCAGAGCAGAGCCTGTCAATTTTTCTGAGCTATATATGTAGCAATTTTCTGCTGTCCTGTATCAGAAGGGGAGCTGAAGTTTGTTTTACATCAAATGATAAAATTTGACTTAGTGGGGAAAAAATCTGAGTACTGAGATTCAGAAAAACATTATTTGAAAATACACCAAACCCCTTCAGTGATATTAAACACTGAGTTGTTCCATTTGTTGGTTAATCGAAGAAAAAAGAAAAAGAGTATTATTTATTAAAGTAATACATAATAACTCAGTCTCTTTTTTCATTCCGACTGAATATTTGATTAGTTTTTTGATAACTGAATTTTTATGTACAAGTCACTAAATTATTTGGTGACATAACTACATGAAGATATGCTAATAGAATATCTGGCCTTTGATTTTATCATCAAGATTACCTGCGCACTGAGTATGTTTAAATTACGAATGTAGAGAGCTACAAATTGCCATGGAACACCGATCTGCCAGTGAAACACAGGTGAGGTGTTGGGGTTTTTTTAATGTTAGCAGATAATTTCAGAGTCAGTTCATTTTTCAGTTAGACACATATATTTTAAAAGAAATATTGAACATGATGCCGTGGTTTATTTGGAGATCAGTCTGAATTTTTAATGATAACATAGTCTTATGCTGAGGGGAAATATTTTTCCACAATAGGCTTAAAAATGAGAAAATTATGAACATTAATATCTTTCATGAGATTTTTGGGGTTAACAGCAATAGAGAGGAGAGGGTGGTTGTTATTTTTGCCACTTCCCAGGTGCAAAACACTGAGTTGTATTCTCCTTTGCAAATATCTAAGCTTTTCCTCAATAAAATTGATCACGCTTTTCCATCAGGTACTTATATTTGCACAAACATACTTGGACTCAACATGCTGAGTGAAAGTGCTTACCGAAAGTAACGGGCCAAGTCCTCCGTGGTGTAAGGCTTCTGTCCAGCAAAGCACTTAGAGGCTGGTTTTCAAAGGCTTTCTGCTTCACTTGGAATCAATGAGTTTCTCTATTGACTCCAGAGGGAGTCAGTAAAGCTAACAATTAGTGCTTTTAAAAATCTCACCTACCTTTAATGCCTTGCTCTAAGTGCTCAAGCAGGCACGGGGATGTTTAGGGGACACGGACTCACAGGACTCAAAAATATCTCCTAAACTCAGAGTCCATTCCCCTGGCCTAAGGCTGTGCTTAGTATAGCTCTAACATGGCATGATATTTATTTCCTGACTACTTCTAGCAATCCTTCAAAGGTGGAGGTCTCAGGATCTTCCTGAGAAGTCTGTTCCAGAAACTCATTGCTTTTGCCATTAGAAGATTTGTCCCGGGAGGATGGATCAGATCCAGATCCAGTAACGCAAATATTTGCATGTACCATCAAGCTGTGTGATTCCCTCTCACTGGGAAGCTGTGGTTTGATTGCCATAATGCCAATATCTCCTGCTTCCCATGGCCGTGGACCTGATTCCAGACTCCCATCCAGCCTTCCTCTCTCAGTGTATTATCAGCTCTTTCTTTTTTACCCTAGACCTGTGTAAGACATCAGGTCAGTGCCTTACCTTCAGTGGCAGCCCTCAACATGCCAGAAGACCTTCATGGAAGCCCTTGATTTTCCTTTTTCTGAACTAAACACACCGGTTTCTTCCTGTTTTCCAGTTTCCCATGGCATCAAGAGGAAAAAAAAGCTTTGTACAGGTTCAGGTGCATAGAAATACACATCATTTTCTCTGTGGGAGCATAAAACCTTTAACTCTCAGTTATTTTATTTATTAATTAGCATCTTGCACATTGCCATGGCAACTGGATTAATTTGATTTTCAATCTAGATAGGAACCATGGTCAGCAGCAGAACAACCCACTGAACTCACTCATTTATCTCCCATTACCATCCCATTACCAGCATATCTGAGTCCCAGTGTGCTCCATAGGAACTCTTCCCATGACAACAGAGGGTCTTGAATCATATTTATCTTCATGGAAATCATCAGTGGTTTTGATAACTACTGATCGAGATAATATAAACCCCGAGGTGCACCCTTCTATGCTTGTCCATCAAAAGACCACAAAATGCAGGCCATCACCATCATTACCATCATTATCATCATCACCATCACCAGGATTTCATAAACTGCCTGTATCTAGAGAAGCTCCACTGCTCTTTCTGGAACAGGCGTATACATCACAGACATCTCACATAAAATGACAGGATACCAGCGAAAGGTGACCTCATAGAAAATTGGGCCAAGGCACTTTGGGGCCTGATCCAGCTCCCATTTAAGTTAGTGTGAGACTAAAGTCTATAAATAGTGCTGTGAATGTTATCCAGTACTTTAATGATAGCCAGAACAGAGCTTGGAGAACAAGAATTAAGACTGTGTGGAGGTTGACCCTTGTTCACTGCTTCAGTCTCACTGAAGTCCTGCTGCAGAGAGATAAATGACATCCTTTGGGTGGGTAAATCACTTAGCTCAAGAAGTAACTATCCCAGAAGTGAGAAATATATGACATATTTGTGTTTTCCTTGGAGACTGGCCTGTCAGTCACATTTCCATGCAGAGACAGTCTACGGGAATGCTGACAACCATTCGAGTTTGCCAACATGCTATTAAATTCTTTGCTGCCCCATGTCTCAGTGGCTAATTACAAAATACGCTCATCAAGGGTGAGCTCTTCTCTCCCTACATGCACATGACTCACACAGACATTTACAAGACACGTGAGTATCCTCAGGGGAAGGAGTGGGACAGGTGAGGACAATCATGCTGCAAGTCACACTCTCCTTTTTTTGGTTTTTTTTTGCTTTTTCTCCCTGCTTGTTTCCAGACTGTGCATGAAAGTGTCTGATGTTCTGTAGGTGATTGCCAACATCTGGTATGGATGTCATACTGAATTATGCTAATACTTTCTCACATCTCGTAGAAGGAATGGATGGTGTTTTGGGATCTTGCCATTTCTCATTGTTTGGTGTTGCTTGCATTTTCTATCGTTTCTGATTTGCATTTGAAAACCAATTATTTGATTAACCTCTGAATGTGATAATTTCTACCTGCCTTCACAGGAATGTTTGGGCCAAATTCTTCTTGCTTTCTGCAGATGCCAGGCTGCCTATACAGCCCTCATTCCACTGATTTTGGGTCTCATGGTGTTTTTCATGTCATGCAAGCAGGATTTGGCCCAGAGGTGTGGAAAGAAGTCAGTGATTCAGAAAAAAGCCTGTTATCAATTCACTCCACAGGGAGTAATCTATTGACCCATTGTCATTAACGGGTGTAGATGTCACTCAGCTTTGGATCAGATCCTCAGGTTTTTTCCTGCATGCTGCCTGGTTTGATGTTTGACTTGCAAGAATTAAATAAATGCCTCTAATGCCCCATAAATAGTATCTTCTATTAAGCTATATTTCAGTGCTCTCATTGGCACTATTTCAAAGAAGGATTATTTATCCAGAAGATTTAACTGTGCTCTAAATTTGAATACATCTAGCTTGCTTTTACAAAACATGGGATTGATTCAGAGAGATGCAGAGCACCTGGGAGAGGTTCTGGGTGTCCTTATTTCCCCTCAGCCCTTCCATTTCGGAGGCACAGAAAATTTAAATGAATAGTGACTTAAATATTTTATTTAGCTGTGGCACTTAGTTGTGTCAACCACCTTGATGGATGTGACTTAATTTTCTGGGCAATTTTGTTTTTAAAGGAGGGGAAAAAACAGTTAAACTGTAAGTATAACACTATCCAAATGGTTTTCCTGGAAAGTTTTAATAAAGGTCCAGGAGGCAGAGTACAAGTTATTTTTAAATGGTCTTTAATTACAGAAATTGTATTACTGAAGCACCATCTTCTTAAACTGTTCGGAAGCCTGTAAGCTATGAAAACAAACAAGAAACAAAAAAAGGCAGTAAAGCAGAAAACTCTCTCCTAAAGAAATTACTCGATACCTGCAAGGAATGAACTCGTAAAACTAATAATATAGGATTACTATTCTATTTAAAACTCCAGTAATTAAACTGGGAAAAACATGTTTCATGAAATGACCTTGAAATTACCAATACTGGGGCCTGATTTTGAAAAAATGATTTTGAAAAAAGATGGTCTTTATTGGTGATTAGAATTCTGTAGGTTTTGTTTCCTAATATTATCCCAGTTCACATTAGGACTCCCGTCGTCCTTGCCTGTGTGAGTAAGATTAATTAGAGCACTTAGATGATACAAATACAAACTCCAAGCTTAACGAGCAATTAAATGTGCTGCAGGGATTTCACAGAGGGTACTTCAGTAAAAGAATTTGTGGATTGGTATTTTTTTCATTTCTTAAGACTCAGTCTGCATTTGAATTTCCCAAGTTTCACCAGTTTCAGTGAAGAAACATCTGTTCATTCAAAGGACGACCAATGATAAGAAGCATTGAAAACATTTCAGAATATTAGATTTGAAAATATTCTAGTGCATTTACAAATCTTATTTCTTTTTCTCACCTAAATTCTTGCTTGAGACCTGTCTGTCTTAAAGGTCTTGTAATGCTGGGTAGGGGTGACACTCCAGAAGTCCTTTCAAAATTGGGCTATGAGTAAAGATACTTCCACCTTAGATATAAAGTTTAATCCAGACTAGATTATCAGAAGAGCTTTCCTTTTTAGTTAGGCATCAAAACAGGTAGTCAAATCTACAGATGGACTCAAAAGTTCAGAGTCAGCCTTTTTGTGTTGCTACCTGAATAGAACCGATCTCATTTGTAAAATCTCTTTCTGGTGAGGAAGACAGGTAGCATGAAAATCCAGCTTTTGCCTAATGTTTGCCCTGCAATAATTTATATTCTGTTTTTGAGCAGAGTAGGGAGCTGTCTACCCTTGCCTCTTTATTGTGCCACAAACTAGCTTTAAGGAGGCAAGCAAAGAATTTAATGGAGGAAGTTACCCACACCTGATGGGTCAGTCCCTTTTGGTTAAATGGCCACTTTATAGATGTTGATATCATTCACAGTTTAACCTAATGACAATATCCTATGCAGGAGTGGTATATTTTAGGACTGCTGCACCTGTTGTCCATTCCAGTAGCTCATCCTCTTTTGAGAAACCGCGAGTTCCCCTTACTTTAACCACAGAATTTTAAGCAAGACCAAAAACCCATTTTGCCTTCCTATGAGTCCTGAAATACATTTTTATATTATTTTCAATTACACAGCACTAGCTCAGCCTTTGAGGCTGCCAGACTCTTGGGGTGGAATTCCAAGGAACTGAGATTTAATGTGTGTGATCATATTCAGTGAGCAAATCAATGTGCTTCTGAATATTGCCCAGGAGAATTCCTCCTGTTTCCTCTTTGCATTTTCTTTTTTCCATTTAACTAAGTTTCTCTTACTGCTGCCATGCTGGTGACACCAATTATCAGAAGCGCTTATTACTACTTACCAGTATTAATTACATATAAATAGGAAAGAAACAACAAAATTGCTACCATTGTGCAGATGATATTAATGTTGAACTATAACCCACCAGTTTATAATAAGGGTCTTTTTTTCAAAGGAATATTTTTTGGTCATAATCATGTAATATTCAATCAGCTGAAATAGTCCTGATTTTCAGGAGCAGTTCAAAACAAGGGATATCATTTGAGAAAACAGTATAATTATTCATATCTGAATATTTATAGAATAATAAACTGAATCTAGTGTTACAGGGGGAAATAATACTTGAGAAGCTAATTTGTGTGACCCAAGCCTTTGATGTTATGTAATAAGATGATTTATCTACGTTGGCAGCATATTATAAAACGATTAACTTTTGCCCAGGTATTGTTGAAGCCTCAGGTAGTTTTACTCAGATAATTTCCACTGGATTTATTTGATTGCCCATATTATTTGGCTTTTTTTAATCCCAAATTTTTGTTGTCTTAAGCAAATGAATTGAAGGCAGAGGAATTATTCATATATATATATAATACAACATGTTGGATTTGGCACTAAAATATGCAAAATAATCAGGGAATAAACAGCATTTCAATACCTCTTCATCTGTTTATGTGAGGGATAAAGTTATCTGAATCACCTGAGTGATTTAAAAATGATTCTCCTTCTCAAAATTCAATGGGATTTAGGCTTTACAGCCTTTACTGTAGATCCATGAAAATATAAAACGCATTCCACATTTTCTTTATCCATGAATATTTTTGTACCTCACTGTCCCTCCGTCCAGTTCTTTCCCTCCATTTTTACACTGGTGTTTGTACAATGCCAGGACTTTTGTCCAGACAAAAGCAGGCCAAGCTAAACGTTCATGGTGATCACTTGTCTCTCGTTTCTGCCGCACAGTTGCAAACATGTGATAGAAACACTTCCAACTTCCCCCTTCCATGGAGATTTTCATCGTGAAAAGTAGCTGTCTGCAGACACGTTTCAGTCTCTCAGCCTGTAAACTCTCGGCTTTTATCTCCCTAGGGCTGAAGACCATTGTAGGGGCACTTATCCAGTCTGTTAAGAAACTTGCTGATGTGATGATCCTGACCGTTTTCTGCTTGAGTGTCTTTGCCCTCATAGGCCTCCAGCTCTTCATGGGCAACTTGAGACACAAGTGTGTCAGGGATTACACCATGTTTAACTTCACCAATGGCTCGTTGTATTTGGATGGTAGGATGTGGAACACCTCGGAGGAATTTCTTAGTGATCCAGGTAAGCTCTTCTTTGTCCTGTTAATCTGACTTTTGGTTGTTTGGGCTTTTTTTTTGGGGGGGGGGGATTTTTTTTATTTGGTTTTGCTTGGGTTTTTTTTTAAGTATATTGACCAAGATCTGTAAGCGAATCAGCAAATGCAGCATTATGTGACCACTGGCTCTTCATGGTGTCAATGTGGTTTTGAAAGACCTAGGAAACTTTTTCTGTCTCTGTGGTGCCTTCACAGTTCATGATGAAAGTGTTTCTGGTGCTTTCCTGTGATACGGAATGAGGTCCTTGTTGCATTGTTGAGGATTGTCACAGTTTTAGGTTGTCTTGTTATATATTTCTTAAAACTCCGTTTCCTGGAACTGAGCAGTCACTTGAAAATTTCAGCTCTGTGTGTGTGGGTCTGGTTTGCACGCTGTTTCTTGAAGACAATTCATAGTTCTTGCATTTCGTAGAAAAATTTCAAAATTTGAATTAAGGGCCTTAAAAAATCAAAACG